CGGGGAGTTTGCTTACTTGGTTTCTGCTGTCTGCTTTTCCTTTCCTTTCATCTCTTCTTCACGGAGTGGTGTTCTTCTGTCCTGGGTACTTATGTGTGAGACATCCGTTGTTTTTCAAAAGAAAAGCGAGGAATGCAGTTGCATGAGTAGTTGAGGGAATCTCCCACCTTTGTTTCTATGTTCTTACCTTATGTATTGTTGTTATTAAAAATTGTTATTTTGAGAATTCAAATCATGATTAGATTTCCAAGATTTTGCATGAGGAGGAAAAAAAGGTATTAATATTGTATCAGAAGGAAAACAAACCAGTCACAACAACACTCCTGTTTTACAGTTGTACCGTTGTTTTCTTATCTTCCAGCAAGAGAAAATAGCCTTTTCAAAACAGAATATGAGCGAGGTGTGGTGGTACACACTTGTCATCCCAGCTGGTGGGGGTGGGAGCAGCCAGGCAAGTTTGAGGCTAGCCTGTGTGACACACTTCAGAAACAGCCAAAATCTCCAGGTGAAACAAAATGTAACCCTGCTTTCTGCCTTATGTGTTTGTATGGGGTTCATATGGTATAATAAAAATATTTAAGGTGCCGTGTACAAATTGAAAAGCATATTGGATTTGAGCTTGTGTGCATGTGTTTTAAGTACATAACTGTCTTTATTCAACTCCATCCCGTTGTGAGCATTTGTCTTCCGGTCATGTGGAGTGTAGTATCAGTGGCCTGACTGTGGTGAGCCACGGCAGGGTGGAAGAGCTGTATTTGAGAGAAAAAAAAAAAGCATGGTAAATCCCATTTTTTTTTTTTTTTTTGCGGAACCGGGGATTGAACTCAGATCCTTGCGTTTGCCAGTCAAGCGCTTATCCTACTGAGCCATCTCCCAGGCCCTGGTAAATCCCATCTTAAGGCAGCTTCCTATATGTTAATTGGAACTCACAAATGCTGCTCTCTTTTGCATTATGCATCACCAATAGCACCTTCAGCGTCTTCCTCTCTCCTCCTCTCTCTGTATGTACGGGTATGTGTACGTACTTTAAAAATGATGTGTATATAAATAGTAACATTGGTGCTGGCTTACTTTATAGCCTGGACTTTCTTTGTAATGTTGCGTTATGCATTATCTCTAGCTATTTTCCCCTCTTTGTAATGGTAATGAGTTTGAGAAATATGGACTTAAGAATCAAGTTGACCCAAAAGCAGAAGACAACAACCACAACAAAATCACCTGAAATTCATTGGGTTCCTGGCTTTGTAATTTGAAAGCAGAAAAAAGGCTAGGATTGAAGAAAGTCTGTGCTGTGAGCGAGAATTGCCTGAGGAGGCGCCAGAGAGGCTGATTCGTGTGGCAGTTTGAAGCAGGGGGCGGTCTGGCGCCTCAAGGAAGGCAAGCCTGCTTCTGCCCAGGAGTGAGACCCCGGGAGCTTGGCACCCGCTCAGGGGCAGAACGCTGCGGAGTTTCACCCCTGTGTTTCCGTGTTGCCTTGTTTCTGCTCAGCTCCTGCTCTAGGTCTTGAGTCAGTCACCTTCCTGATGTTTTAAAACGTAGGCACTTACACAGTGCTGGGGCTCCTAGGAGGAGTTGGAGCTGTTCCTTTATGCTGTGCGCCCTTGCGAGGGCAGGGTGGATTTGGGACTGCTAGGACTTACCTGAGGAGCTTGGTCTTGTGAGCCATTAAGGAAAATTAAGAAAGGCCCTATACTTGGGGTATGAAAAGAAAGTCTATTGGCTTTGGAAGAGCTGCAAAGAGGAAAGTGCAGGGGGTGAGGAGATCTGGAAACTTGGCTTGCTAAACGTGTGTTTTTCTGCTCCCGTGTATCATGGGATGGACTATTTAGGTGGCCCCAATTCCTACCTATTAGATGGGCTTCAAAGGCCACATCTGCATTAGCAAGAATGTGAGTTTTAACATGCTCATAGATGATCCTGTACACTTTCCAGTATTGGTGTTTTTATCCGTAGAGGAAAACGATTTTCTTAAGTAAAATTGCAGTTTGTAGAGAGCGCCTGCATTTATTTTTCGGTTTCCTTGGTCGTGTTCAAGGGGTCTGATAGCATTAATGGGCTTTACCCCACGTGGGGCTGTGAGCTTATTGTAGCACTGCACACTGATCCCAGGTCAGTGTGATGCGTGAAATCAATTTATTTGAATCTCTTTGCCTCTATAGGAATTTGGCAGCGTGCCAGTTGTTTTCATTTAATGTTCTTTGTGTTGAACACAGACAAGCAGGCAAGCTTTTGTATTCTTCTCCCTTTTAGTCTCTGTCTCTTTCAGCTCATATTTTACCCTGTAGATTTTGAAATGAAGGAATATATTATGAATATGATTCTAATCATATATATCCATACACACATCCATATAGATGTGTATATGGATATATAGCTCCACTTTTTTCCCCACGTAATTTTTTAGGGGATAGTTTTGATAGTGCTAAGTTTTAATGGTGACTTTGTACACAAATATTTTAGAGTTTTGTTTAAATACAATTTTTGATGAACCATAATCCACCAAATCATAGATCATATTTGCTTACATTAATGACCGTCATTAAAGCTTGAAATAACCATTTTACATAGCACAACACATGTTTAATCTCTGATCTGGACTATCAATCATTTGCAGGAGTTTTTTTTTTTTAAGTTGAAAATCACATTTTAGTCAAACACATGTTAAATTACAATTATTTTGCTATTTTCTTTTTCCTTTTTACTAACTCATCTTGATTAAAACACCAGAGTTTTGCCTCGATTTGCTATTTATAGGTTTTTATAAAGTTCCTGCTGTTAGAGTAGCATTTTGGTTTGTAAAGTGTGCAGGGTGCTGTGGGGGAGTTGCACAGCGATTGTCATTGTCAGTCAGTTCAGACCCTGGCATGGATGTTTTTGTAGGCAGCAGAATTTGTGTCTGGTCGGCTGTAGGAAGAGGTGGAGAAGGAAACACTGGGGAGCAAAGCGAGCATGTTCTGTTGATGCTCCGGGCAGTTCTTGCGGAAGTTGATATGCAGAACCATGGAGCCGAGGCTTCGGGGTCAGGCTCATACCCAGCAGCCCTGCTTCCTTGTTTAATTACCTGAAGAGCAAAACAGTCAGGCTGAGAGTGTGTGAAACCCTAGTATCTCTGACAGCCGCCTGGCGCTCTGACATCCTGCGAGGCTGGCCCTGTCTGTCCGCCAGCGTCGGGCTGGCTCACGCCCTCGGTTCCTTTCTTTCAGGAGGCATTGTGTGGGGAAGGGTTTGGTCAGGAATCGAGGTTCCTGCCAATGCTGTGTCCCAGCTTTTGCCTTCTGGACTACACTGACAGATGCTTCATGTTTTTTCTTTAAAGTATCTAAACATTTGGCCCTTTCTTTTTTATACTTCTGGCTTGATGGGAAACAGTCTCTTGCAGTAGCAGTGGAGGACTAGTCTTGGTTTATTGGGATCTTCTTTTTCTATTTCCTGGGATACAGTATCCTCTGTGTATTGCTCTGCTGGGGCCAGACTCACTGGTGGGAGTTTAGTGTGGAGCTAGTAGTTCTGAGCTTACTTTCAGGAGGCAGTTTTGGAGTCTGTATCTGTCCACAAAAATAGAGTTATCTTTTTTTTAAAGAAAGGTGGTAGAAGTTTTAAGATTGGCTGTTTCTTACCTGTTCTTTGTCCTCCCTATTCTCCTTTGCTTGGAATTTGAATATGATCTTTGATATTTACTGGGGGGAAGGCCACACCCTTTGATGAAGCTGGGGATAGTAAGAAATAGTATTTGCATAGCACTATGTCCAAATTGTGGCATAGGATAAATATTCTAGAAAAGCTCACTGAGGGAGCCATTTGGGAGATCCCCTAAGTATAGCAAGATACTAGGGAAAGGGAAGTCGGGG